CCATTTCCCCTGTGTTTCCCCCGGGAGCACAGCTATCTCGGAGCCTCTCTTGCCACTGGATAAGGGGTTCAGTATGAGCCAATGGCACATGTGTGGAGGGATACGGGGTGCTTGGAGGCCTATGGACACCCCCAGTGTGACCCTTTGTGACCGTTTTCTTTCCCCTTAGCTAAATAAAGAGACCTCTGACCCCTAGAGTATGATGGACCAGAAGTGGAAGGGTACTTTTGTCATATGTAAATGTGTCATCCATCCACACATAGAGAAAAGCCATCTGGATAATTTTTATAGCTCAAGCTCCCAGGTGGTATTCTTGGTACTCTCAGAAGCTCTGTTAGAAAGAAACTCTGAGCCACTTCATTTTTCTGTTTATTGTGGGTTTTGTGTGTGCATGCATGTGTGCGTGCATGTGTGTGTGCGCGCGCGTGTGTGTGTGTAAGCCAGAAATCAACTTCAGCAACTGTCCCAGGAAGGCCATCTGCATCCTTTGAGACAGGGTCTTTCACGGGCCTGGAGCTGACTACAACTTAGTTTACACTGCTTGGCCAGTGGGTCCTGGGGATTCTCCCATCTCTGCCTCCCCAGTGCTTGGGTTACCTGCACATCTGGCAATTTAACAAGGATTCGGCAGTTCACAGTCAGGTATTCCCACTATGTAGCAAGCCCTTCTCTCCACCCTGCCCCTGAGCATTTTCTGTCTTTAAGTCTTACTTGTTTGAGCAGCTATCATGACTGACCAATATAAAAGTATGACTTCATAGCTCTTTTGACCAAGAGCCCTGCCCCCCCCCCCCATCACACATGTCGTTAACTCTGCCTGGCTGTATTATATGTGGTGTTGTTCTTCATCTGGTCTGTATTTTCAACACACCCGATGAGTTATCTCCTAGACAGAAAGACAGAAAGATTTCAGAAGTGATGGCAACTGTCACACACACGAATCCAGAATCTTGGAGATATAAGGGAGCAGTGACCAGAAAGAAGCAAGATCCTCCACCAGGCAGAGGCCTCAGCTTGTCACGTGACTGTTTACAGCCAGGCACACGCAAACACACACAAGAGGATGCTGCTCTAATGGTGCTAATGACGGCGGACATTTATAGCGACTTCCTTCACAAAAGTCCTGAGCAGCACACAATTAAAGGCAGCCGCGGACAAAAAATCCTTTCATCTGAGATTCATAAAAGGAAAGTAATTCAGCCTTCCTAAGCACTAAAGGAAGCCAGCACCACTGGATGGTGTGTGTGGTGGCGGGGGGGGGGGTAAAATCTTCATGGCTCAGGCCCCCAATTCTTGCATGTTATATTTAGGACAATCAAACTGGTCTGTAGAAAGAAAACAAATTCAAAAGACACAAGCCCCCAAGTTACAGGGGGAAAAAAATCAAGATGAAATCTCATTGAAGCACAAGACAACTGTCCCCACGAGAGGCTGTGGGAGGCCGTGGCCCTGTTTGCCTGTCTGTCAGACTTGGCAGTGTGGCGTGACTGGATTTGAAACAGAGTAGACTTGGGGTTAGACATAAATAATCTGTGGATGAGGCCCTGCTGCGTATTGGATTTTAGAATGCTGCAAATGAGGCCCCTGGGATTTCATTGCTACCTGGTCCCAAGTCATCCTCTCAGGACTGACTGAGAAGCCGTGTCAGGACTCCGGAAGCTGGGGACGGTACCGATGGCATGCGCCAAATGAGACATTTAAAAACTTCCTCCCAAGGACACGCATGCTGAGCCTTTCCCTCAGTGATTTCCTGTTTTCCAACAGCACCCCGCTTCCTATTCCCTCTCACCACCATGCCTGCAAGGTGTCCCAGTGACTTGGATGCGAAGGAAGCCCTGGGTCATTTTCCCACCTTGTGTCAAATCAGAATCCAACATGGTACCTGAGCTGCTCTTTCCTCTCTGACCACCAAGGCGCCACAACGGTGAGTTTAGACACATTGAATCAACCGGCTGAGAGCAAGAAGAGACAGCGCTCAGGCCTATAGGAGTTTCCAGAGCAGAGAACACCGCCACTGTAGTTCCTCCAACTCTGTGCTCTTGTCCAGAGCCTTTGAGACCCTACAGTCACCCAGCATCTTGTAACACTCTTCCTAGCTCTCTCCCTCCTTCATCAATCCCTACTTCCTGCCTCAGGACCTTTGACCTGATGGACCCCCACATGGGCTATGCCCCCTCTGCCTTTCTGGTGCTGACTGCCTCCTCAATATTAGCTCAATGTTACTTTGTGTAATAATGGCCCCCAGAGTGCCTGGTGATGGCTAAAGGGGACTTTACAGGTAGTACTGGGTGATCTGGGTGGGCCCTAAGTGGAATTGTCCCATCACATGGGAAGCCAAAGGAGGTCTGACCAAAGCAGTTGACATAACCATGGAAACAAGATACCCTGTGGCTACTGGCCTTAAGATGGCAGAAGAAGCTATAAGTCATGGTAGAAAAGGCAAAAAGCTGGGTCCTGTCTTCCAGACCACGCTGCCCTGTCAGTCCCGTGAGAGTCACCTCAGCCTTCATAACTGTAGGGGCAAGGGTGTGCTGCCTGATGCCACAGAGTCAGGGTGACTTGTTAGGAACTGAACACACCGGCGTATAGGGGTCTGCACCGGAACAGCCTTGCTCCCTCAGTGAGGTCCAGACAGACCACTCTGGGAAGCCGCTGATCCGAGGCTGTTGGCTGCTGCATCACAAACAACCCATTTCCAGAGAGCCCAAGTATTCTGTCAGAGTTAGGACAAACACCTGCTTCAGCCCACTCATCTCACAGATGTAGAAACTGAGGCTCAGGGGACCCTGCAGCTGGGCTGAAGGATGAGGGCACTGTCAATCAAACCTTTCAATCTTGGCCCTTCGATGCCATTTGGAGTTTTCAGCATGAACAATTGCACAGGCTGCCGATCGCTTGGCAGTAATTTCATAATGACCCAATCATGAAATAATCTAGCCATCCAGATTTGAATTGTTTGCGGCTGTAGTGACTGGAAAGCTGGTTAGTTAACATCCATTTCCCGAGAGCCAAGCATATGGCTTTACAAGGAAACCAAGCTCTGAAATACTTGTTAGCTCTACTGATAATGACTAAGTAATTGGCTAGAACACACCATTGTGGATTTCGCTAGATTATGCCAGGCAATTATCTGGTCGTATGCTCCCTGTAAAAATAAAACCAAGGTCCCCCAAATTGTTCTAGTCAGTTGGCTAGCTTCCAACAATCAATCATGCAGATGCAAATGATTAATCGAATTACTCAGATATCTGGGTGCGAATAGAACGTTCAGATAGGTACTCTTAAAGGGCAGCAAGGAGATGGAGCTAAGTGGGGGACAGACTTGACTCCCCATGATAAACACGTAACAACGAAATAATCGGGGAATAGACACTACTTCTTCAGGGCTCATCTGCTATCCTCACACAAAATACCAGACACTTCAGAGAACAATTATATGTCCCAAAGCCGCCAGGCATTTTTTTTTTTTATTTTTAATGGTGGTGCCCAGAAAAGGTTGGGTGCTTTGTGAAATCTATGGTGGTTATGGCATGCAGGGCAGGAACCCACAGTTCTGTCACAGAACAGAAGGCTGCAGAGCAGCTGGGCTTCAGGGATGAGCAGGACATCTTCACAATGGCCACTCATTTTCCGGAGCTGCTAACAGGGTCTGTACATGTGCGTGAGCCACTCTTCGGAACAGGGAGGGGAAGGCAGGAGGAATGGGTCCCTGAGATCCATGGGTCACCAGACTTGTAGATCTCAAGGAAGGGGCTCCTAACTTCTGGGAGAGAGAAGTTGCTTCCTGATGAGAGAGAAGCTCAGAGCGCAGAGGGGTCCCTGAAGAGGGATCGCTGAAGAGGGCCATAAAAACAGCTATTTATGGCCCTCTCCCTGCAGAGGCTGCCATTCAGAGACCAAGTCTTTCTCCCTAACTTGAATCCAGTTGACCGCAGGAGATGCTCTAGCTAATGGAAGTCACCCAGTGGAGGCATGCAAAACACCTGTGCATTTAACCTTTGACCCCTTGCTGTACAGAGGCCACATGGGGAAGTCCCGGAAGTCGTGTGAAGCAGAATTGAGATACCCCGGCTGTCAGGGTACCTACCGATTAGCAGACAGGTAAAGATAGGGGTTCCCCCTCCCCCGACCAGATCCTTCATTGCTGCCAGCTGAGTCAGGCCACAGAACAGGACTCAATCCAGAACTATCCCCAGCACAGAGGGAAGGCACTGAGCTCCAGAGTTGGTCCTTTACTCTACCAAGAGTTTGTAGCCTGCTCCCCAAAAGGATGGCTTGAGAAGCACTTCTGTCTTGGGGAGACACGAGAGCCCCCATGTTTACACTGGTTTAAGGAGAGGCAGAGGCCTCTACCACCATCCCCAGGCTTTGCAGGCACTTGCCATTTGATACAGGAGCCCCAGTCGTTCCTACCATTTGCATAATCAACGACGACCTGATAATTCTCCTGCTGCCAAGGCCTGGGAAACAGAACAAACAGACACCACCTCTGCTGAGCCGCTGCCCTTCTCTGACACCTTTCACGTGAGGTGACTAGCTCACGGTGAGATTTTTAAAGCTTGGACACTCAGAACAGCGGCGGCAATGGCTCCACAAACATTCTGTGAACCATCGAGAGCCACAGTCATGGTCTCCAGCATCTCAGACCAAACTATGGGGCAGATCTGGCCTGCCACTTGGGTTTCTACAAGTCTTATTGCAGCGTTGCCATGCAAATCCATCTACATATTGATGTTTTTGTGTGACGGCGGCAGAACCGTCTTGCTAAGGCAGAAACTGCAGCCTGCGAGGCTGATTCACATACCTCCCTGGGCCTATGACACATGCTGGCTGACCTCTGTGTAAAGCAAGACACTCATATTACATATGGAGAGACAAGAGTCGAAGAGCCACCGATGCAGAGCAGAGACAGAAGTCGCTTTTCTGGTTCCCAGTGCCGTACATCTTTCCAGACACTGATAAAGCCCTGAGAAGCCCCCGTGAGAGCCGACGGGACTGACCTGGTGATGATGGCCAAGTGGGGCGGGCTCATGCAGGCTCCCATGAAGAGCACCACATTCTCGTGCCTCGTCTGCCTGTAGGCCATCACTTCCCGCTTGAAGGCCTTGAGCTGGTCCTCATTGTCCCTCTCGATATCAATCAACCGGATGGCCACCTCACCGTGCCAGCGTCCGTGGTACACTTGCCCAAAGCGACCCTTCCCGATGAGCTCGCCAATCTCTAGCTGCTCAAAGGGGATGTCCCACTCCTGAAGGAAGATGCTGGTCTGGCTGGCCTTGCGTGGGAAGCTCCGGGCTGAGAGGAGGGACAGGTTCATCTCCTCAAAATCATCCTCAGACTCCTCTGCCTCATCGTGGCCCTCTTCATTCTGCGGCCAGAGAGGAGAGAGGTCAAAGCTATGGCCACCCCAGCTCCACCCTCCCTAGGGGCCTGCTGGGTAGCAGCGTGCTGTGGAGGTTGGGACATGCTCCATATTTCCATATGTAGACACAACTGTTTCCCAGGTATCTTTTAATTCGAGTCAAACCACAAAGGACTTAAAGCGGAGCCAAGATGGTCCAATGGCCTTGTGCTGAGATAGGAAAAATGCCAATGGGACCAGCTGTTCTAGTCTGAATGGACTTTTTACATTGAAAAGTATCAGTTTTCACACTGAAAAGTGACATGTCTGAGGACACCTGTCAACCCTGGGCAAATTGGTCACCCTGGGAGGTCTTCACTCCCTCACCCTGGATCACAGCCAAGCAGAGGGACAGCTTAGATTCAGGTTTCTGGATCCCTGCTATCCAGTGTCGTTCCTGTTCTACCATGCTGGTTTTGAATTGCTTGACAGTATGTGTACGAGAGGAACAGCAGGCTAGAAGATGGATGTGCTGTGTGTCTCTTCATGTGACAGGGGACAGCCATCACCATGGGCTGCCTATCAGCCTCCTCGAAATTCACAATCGATTCGGAGATTGGCAGACTTGGCCCTTTTAAGACCAGGAGGCTGGGAGAGCCCAAAGCAGACGGCTGAGACCATGTGCTAAACACTCAGACCCAGTGAGATGGCCTCTGACCTGTGCAACCCTGGGAAAATTGGTCCACCTCTCTGAGCTTTCCTTATCTCCCTTTAAAGTGGAAGTTAGATAAGAATTTTCTCCAGGCAGTGGCAGAAAGTTTTACTAGAAGATGAGTTCTGAGGTTCTGCCACCTCCTACATCAAACATATGTTGGCATGCTGGAGAAAATGCAGATTCCAGGGCCCCATCCACCTAGATCTACTGACTTAAAACATCAGCAGGCCAGCAGTCAGACCTATGTTTTAACTACGGGACTCATGAGGTCAGTGGTGACCAATCAAGGGAGAATGCATAGGGGTTGGGGAGATCTAGGCTCGGGGGTGTCTCAACTAACATGGGGGAAGAGCAGATGCCAGACCCCATGGGAAGCCCTAGAGACCCTAGTGAGATGACCCCAGAAAGGGACTTCTTCACTGAACCCTGTGTTTATGAGCTGGCTGTCCACGGCACTGAGGGGAATCGAGATGGAATGTCAGCTCTCAGGCTCAGTTCTAGGAGACTGCTCCTGTCTCGGAATGGGACGTGGGGCTCTTTCCCAGAGCCCTGCCTCTGGCCTTTTTAGCTCAGGGCACACAGTAGGGCCAAGAAATCAGACCCAATGGCTGTTCCTCAGGACATTTCTTTACTCCCTTAGCACAGATGGAAGGAAGCCCAGAACCTCCTCACTGCGCTGCCAACCCATCATCCTCGGGACTCCCACCTGCTAGTGTAAGTTATCTCAAAGGTAGTGGGGCACATCCCCTTCCACTTTCCCCCAGTCCTGAGCTAATTTTTTTTACCTAAAAATGCAAATCACAGACCAATTTCTATCCAACTGTCTCTGCGAACGGCCCATTAGGCGCAGCGCCTGGAGGAGCCGCAGCTTCTTAACTGTCTAGAGTGAGAACATCCATCAAACTGCCCCGGGGCCCCACCTCCCTACCCTGTCCCTCTGCGTCATTGACGGCACCAGGCAGTTTTGCCAACCTCGAGCCAAAGCCACCTCTCCAGTCTCCAATTCTCACCTCCGAGGTTGGTTCCACTTCAATCTGAAGTAATGGATTTCCTTCCAAGCTGTAAATCAGAGGGGGGAAAAACACCCGTGACCCTTACAACTCTGGATTTAAGGTGAGCCATGCTCAGGAGTCTGAAGTGAGAAGCCTTGGTCATGAAACCTTCAGCTCAGGTGTCACCCCAACGCTTCAGTCTGAAACTGCACAGCCGGGAGTACAGAAAGAGCTCCCAAGACCGTTATTTTAAAAGAAATTCTCCCGGTTTGCTCAGGACTCGCTTTCCTTTATGCCTTCAGCTTCAACCAGTACAGCAGCCTCTTTTCGGGTGGGCAAAAACATCACAGATGAGCAACTCCTCCGAGGTCTAATGTGCACTGGGAAAGAATAAACCACACTTCTAAACTTCTCCTATAAGGGTCTTTAAAAAGAAGATTTAGTTTTATTTTTAATGCTGTGTCTGTGTGAGGGTGTGTGTGTGTGTGTGTGTGTGTGTGTGTGTGTGTGTGTGTGTTCATGCTTGTGTTACCTACCAAAGCCAGAGGGTAACTGAGGCTCTGGAGACTGGAGTCACGCAGGGTTATGAGCCACCCGTGATGGTTATTGCGTTTCTAAAACTTGACCCAAGCTAGAGTTATCTGGGAAGAGGAACCTCAGCTGAGAAACACTTCCATTAGATCGACATGCTAGCAAGTCTGTGGGACATTTTTATGATTGATGATTGATATGGGAGAGCCCAGACCACTGTGGGTGGTGCCTCCCCTAGGCAGAGATGGTCCAGAGTTGTTTAAGAGAGGAAATAGAGCAAGCCATAGAGAGCAAGGCAGTAAGCAGCACCCCTCCATGACCGGACTCCATGACCTGCTTCCAGGTCCCTGCCTCGAGTTCCTGCCCTGACTCCCTCAGGGACAGTGTGTGACCTGAGAGCTGAAAGCTGATGGGAACTCTTCCTTCTACAAAGTGATTTTAGTCACGGTGTTCATCACAGCAACAAACATAGGGCTAGCACACTACCCGATGCTGGTACTGGGGACCGAACTCAGGTCCCCTGCAGGAGGTTGGTAAGTGCTCTTAGCTGCTGAGCCATCCTTACAAGGATATTCAATAACAATGCATTTGTCTGTTCATTTACTCATTTTTAATTCATCCACCTACTCATCTAGAATTCTGTACCAGGCATGTCTTTAAAAGGAGGCTCCTGGCATGAAGGGAAGTCTTTGTATGACCTAAAGAGCTTACTGTAAATGGAGGAGAGGGGGCTAAAAGCAACAAGGGCCAGCAGCCACCAGTGAACTGAACAGATGGAGTGTTGGGGGGATTCCCAGAAGAAAGACCAACACACTGGGCGCATCTGGAAGTTCATGGTTATCCTGGTCTAAATGAGAGTGACCCCCATGGGCTCAAATATCTGAATGCTGAATTGCTAGATAGTGGTCCCATTTGAAAGGATTGGGAGGTGTGGCCTTGTTGGAGGAAGTGTGTCCCTAAGGATGGGCTTTGAGAGTTCAAAGACCCATACTGAGCCCAGTCTCCCCCACCCCTGCCTGTGGATCAGAATGCACAACTACTACATAATTCCCAACTGCTTTCCCAGCATTCTGCCTGCCATGCTTCCCACCCTGACGATAACCAGTTAACCCTCTGAAACTCTAAGGAAACCACCCGATTAAACGCTTTCTTTGATACGAGTTGCCTTGGCCATGGTGTCTCTTTCCAGCAATAGAGGAGCGACAGACAATGGTGTTGGAGTTTAGCTTGGCCAGTCTCATGGCACCAGCATACATGGAAGGAAACCAAGAGCATTGCTGGGTGGGAACACATGGGCGTGAGTGTGTGTCACGTGTGCAAAGCTCAAATGCTGCAGCTGTATTCTAAGCATGGGTGCTGGGGAGAAATGGGTCTGTGTGGGCAATGCAAGTGATGACGGGATGTGTGAAAGGGCAGGTCTCGAGCTGCGTGGACACACTAGAAGGGCAGTAGGGATGCTCTAACTGACTGTGTATTAACAGTGTGAGGACACTATCAAATGCGTAGTTCTGTAATGGGGATGTGGAGTACACTAAGTGTTTACAGGGGTGTTTGGAGACGATTTTGACACTTATGGATGTATGTCTAGGGAGAGCAGTGGAAAGAGAGCCGCTTGGCCACAGATTGCACACAAAACTCAGAACACCTAGCACAAAGTCATTGCCAGGAAAACAGTGTCCTCTTTATATTTCTCTGATGGAACTTTAGCCACTCCCTTCCCCACCCTATTGTGGGAGGAGTCTCCCTATCTCAGATCTCAGGGAGCTGAGGGCCCTGCAGACTGAGCTAACGGGGGAAGAGTCACTGTGAGCTACATTATTTATGGTGTAGCCTTAGGAAGTGGGATGAGTCTGTGGGGATGGTGAGAAAAACAGGACAATACAGGAGTCCCTCTCCTCTCCTAATCACCCTAGGGCAGCCCACTCCTTTCTGTTTGAAGGTGGGATTCCAGCTGCCAGGCTATTCAAGGCTTCCCGCTGCAGCCGTCCTGTCCATTACTCCTCGCACATTTAAACAGATCATAAGCAGCTCCCTGCGCCGCCACGGCAACTCCAACTATCGCTAATAACTTGGAGTTCATCTTGTACAAAGCAGGCAGCGGGTTGTGAGCAGCAGAGAACTGACCCAGAGATCTAGGTCAGCAAAGTGCCTGCCGGCAAGACACTGCTCCTTTGATTTTGGAGACGCACCGACCATGTCGGTGCTTCACAGAGTCCTGATGCGGGTCAAGTGGGATGGAGCCATTAGGGAAGCGAGAAGGAAAAGCCAGCAGGCAGAAATGAGAATTGTGAACCGCGGCACATCTCAGCATGACTGACTCTGCGCACAGGCACAAAAGGGAAGGAGGGTGACTTCCTGCTTGTCTAAGCAATAGGTCATTCGGGGGATATGTGCACCAAGACATTTGCAGCCACCTTGTTTACCGCAGGGAGATCTGAATTCCACATAGGTATGACATTCTATAGCCAGGAAGACACTGCCTATGAAGAGCCCAGCATCTCACGGGAAATCAGTGTCACTGCGCTAAAGATGAAACAGGGCAGTAACAAAGGATTGTAACTGCCTTTGTCCTGAATCACAAATACATGAATGGGAAGAGAAAACTGCTAGAACATTCTAGCAGCATGAAATTCCAAAGGGCAAGTTTCCCTTCCTTGTTCACAGAATATCCTAAATACTCCCAAATTAGCTACTGCTCATTTCACGTTGGTATAAACAACAGAGGCTAGCAGGCACTTTCTGCAAGGGGCCAGAGACTCAATTTTTTTTTTTTTTTTTTTTTTACTTTGGGGAGCCATATGCTTCCATACAGCCTCTCCACCCTCCAGCGGTACTGAGAAGGTGGTCAGTCAAGACCCTGTCAGTACACGAGCATGGCGGTGTTTCAATAAAACTTTACTTGTAAAAACAAGTGACAGATGGGGTTTGTCTGACAGGCTAGAGTTTGTTGATCCCAACAAACTGTCTATTTTGTGAAATATATACAGGTGAAAACTGTATATTTCCTTTATCTTTTTTTTTCTTTCTGTCGCCCTATCTCCCCACCACCCTATCTCCCCACTGATGGAGGAAGGTCATTGGCTAATAAAGGAACTGCCCTGGCCCATTTTATTGGTTAGGACATAGGTAGGTGGAGTAAACAGATCAAAATGCTGGGAGGAAGAGGAAGTGAGGTCAGAGACTTGACAGCTCTCCTCTAGGGAGCAGACGCCTGAGAGAGACGCCATGCCCCGCTCCCGGCATGAAGCTCCGACCCAGGATGGACTAGGCTAGAATCTTCCCGGTAAGACCGGTTCTCACAGATTATTAGAGATGGGTTGATCGGGACGTGAGAATTAGCCTGTAAGTGCTAGAGCTAAAGGGCCAAGCAGTGATTAAATGAATACAGTTTGTGTGTTGTTATTTCGGGGCATAAGCTAGCCGAGCAGGCGGCTGGGGTGTTAGGGACGCAGCCCCGCCGCCCCATATTACTACACCCCACCACCCTATCTCCCCACCACCCTATCTTCCCACCACCATCCCCCACCACCCTATCTCCCCACCACCCTATCTCCCCACCACCCTATCTCCCCACCACCCTATCTCCCCACCACCCTATCTCCCCACCACCATCCCCCATCACCATCCCCCACCACCCTATCTCCCCACCACCCTATCTCCCCACCACCCTATCTCCCCACCACCCTATCTATCTCCCCACCACCCTATCTCCCCACCACCATCCCCCACCACCCTATCTCCCCACCACCCTATCTCCCCACCACCCTATCTCCCCACCACCATCCCCCACCACCCTATCTCCCCACCACCCTATCTCCCCACCACCCTATCTCCCCACCACCCTATCTCCCCACCACCCTATCTCCCCACCACCCTATCTCCCCACCACCCTATCTCCCCACCACCCTATCTCCCCACCATCCCCCATCACCATCCCCCACCACCCTATCTCCCCACCACCCTATCTCCCCACCACCCTATCTCCCCACCACCATCCCCCACCACCCTATCTCCCCACCACCATCCCCCATCACCATCCCCCATCACCCTATCTCCCCACCACCATCCCCTAGGATCAGGGATTGAATCTAGAACCTTTTTTTAGATGTTTAGATTTTGATATTCTGATACTGGGCCTTATTAAGTTGCTCACATTGGCTTTGAACTTGACCTCCCAAGCATCTTGAATGACAGGCAGGTGCCACCAGGCTCACCTTAAAGGACACTTTTTAAAAAGGGAGACCATGGTATAAGCTAAAGTCTAACTATTCCTGCAACAGCTGTCTGGAATCATGAGGAGGATGCCGGGAGGTAATGGTGTGACCTCCAGAATCTGTGGTTGCCATGGAGGACCAGAGCCACAGGAAGAGCTGGCTTGTGGGGGCTAAGGTTGCCTCTTATCACTGCTCTCTCGGCTTGGGGTGCCAGCCCTCTTCTCTCTACTGAGTCATGCCCCGTGTCTTTCTGTGGAACCAAGAAGGCTGAAGGTACTGAAGCTTGGGGCAAGGGAGGAAGTCACTTACATCGTATTGGAGGTGACAGGATGCAGGATGACTTGGGGCGCCCGGGTGGGCGTCTCTGGTACAGGCACCACATCTGAGAGGCAGAGAACAGATATACAGAGATCAAACATGGAACCCATGACCCTCACCTGCCCCAGAGGCACAGCAGCCAGCAACCCTAGTCTGTGTTATGGATTCCAGTGTTGGCCAGTTTCCTTTTCCCCTGCCTCACCCACTGAGATGGACCAGCATTCTAGAGATGCTGCACACACATCCTCACTGCCAAGGTAACTAGACAGGATACCTGAGCATCCGCTGCCCATCCCTGAATCCTCCTCACTCCTCACACCCCTTTGGATCAAGGAGACTACTCAGTTCACACCTCAGTCCTGCTCAGGTCCTTTGACTTGCTGACCCTCTAGGCTTCCACCGTGCTAGGTATATCCTTGGGTCCCTTGGGTCCCTTGGGATCTCCCACCCTTACCTTCTCCTCTTCCATGTCCAGATGTTATCCTGGAGTGTGGAGACCCCACTAGTCTCCTCTCTGCTCTTGACCTCTCTCCACCAGCCCCAGCAATCCCTGCTCCTCAGAGGGCCGGTCCCCAGGACACTCACCTGGGAAGATGAACTGCTGCTTATATTTGTAGTAGTGGGAAGCTTGCAAAAGACAGAGAACAGCGCATGAGTACCGCCCAAGTGCCGTCTTTTCGGGTACCCGGTCCCATTCCTATTATCAGGGCAGAGTCATTCTCTGTCCACCCCCAGAGTGTCCATGCTACAGCAGACACCCTGATTTTAAGGAAGTAGGAAGATGTGAGTCCCAAACCATTTGACATCTCACACTCCCTAAAATCAGGCCACGCCCTCCCAGAGGCACAGTGACATACACACCACCACCACCACCACCACCAGAACCACCACCACCACCACCAGGAAGCCATAATCCAAAGTCATCTTTGCCTTTACAGATCCTTTAGGCAAATTTTTGGCATCAAATTTTGCATCTAATTATTTTCTTTGCACTGTAATAAAGTAGCAATAAACACAGCAACTCCCAGCAGCGCTAACAGATCCCTCAGCAGAGACAGATCCCTCAGCAGAGACAGATCCCTTAACAGCAGAGACAGATCCCTTAACAGCAGAAGCAGATCCCTCAGCAGAGACAGATCCCTCAGTAGAAATAGATCCCTTAGCAGAGACAGATCCCTTAGCAGAGATAGATCCCTTAGCAGAGACAAATCCCTCAGCAACAGCAGAGATTCCTGTTGCTACCCGTGGGTTGCAACTCCTTTGGGGGCAAAATCAGATACCCCACATATCAGATATTTACACTACAATTTATGACAGTAGCAAAATTAGAGTTATGAAGTAGCAACAAAATAATTTTATGGTTGAGGGGGTGACCACAACATGAAGAACTAACTAAATGTTCACAGCGTTGGGAAGGTTCAGAACCATTGCTCTATAGTCTGGAGGCTGGAGCAGTGGAATGAGTCTTAAAGAGGCATGAACAAGGCATATGGTTTGGGCTTCCTGGAGACTCCAACCCAAGCCCTTTGGGCAGGTGGTTTATCTTCTCAAGCAAGCATGGTCAGCAGAGAGTCCAATCTAGTACTTCTTGGCTCCCCAACAGTTCTCCTCAGTCTGTTTTGTTCTGACATCACTTCCTGTTGGCCTTCTTGCCTGCTCCTTATGGGATTGAATTTGGCATAATCCAGGACACTCTGTGCCCCTCAGAATCTGCACTATAATCCCAGCTGCCACAATCCTTTGGTCACAGCAGATGCAGGCTTGTTGGTTAGGATGTAAACATCATCTTTCTCCCTTCTCTTTTGCTCTTTCAGAAAGCAAGGCCTTTCCTCACTTGCCATAATCATGGATTCATCTCTAAGTTTAACAAGAATAATTATTCAAAAGATTATCCCTGAATCTCACTTGCCGATTCTCTCGACAATTTACTCTACCTCTGGCCCACACACCAAAGGTCAAGGTTTCTAATTTGTCACCTGGTCCTTTGCGGTACAGTGCACAGGACGTGAACAGGTCACTTTATATTCCCATCCTTGCAGTAAGCACAGTGGTTAGCAGAGATGGGGTTACATTCAAGCTGCTGAAGAATCTGGTACAGAAGCAACTTGAGTGCCTTCAGAGATAGGGATAGCTAACTGTCCCTTGACTCTTCCCTGTGAGGACCCAAGTCTGAGCCTGGAGTCCAGAAACTGACCCAGTAGCATTGAGAATTTGCTCTGTTTATATCCCTTGTAAAATCCAAGCAAACCATTCCATGTCTCAGTGTTTACAGACAAAATGTGGACAATCCTAGTCACAGGGAGATGATTCTGGGACCATCACTCCACAGAAGGGTACAGTGGATCCTGAGTGGGGCAGCTTGGGCCTTGGTTCTTCCTTCCCTCCACACTTGTGGAATACGCAGGTAGCTTCCACACATGTGTATACATTTCCCTGGTGATGAGTCCCTAAGCAATACATGAGAACTATTTATACAGCTTTCAGCCAGTGCTCACTGCAGCACGTCACCTAGAGATGGTTTAGCCTGTGGGAGGATGAGGTCACCTGGGGAGAGGTGGCTTTCAGGATATGTGATCTATAGCAGCTTTACTACCTAGACAACAGAATGCTAATGATTTGATGTTTCAGAGTGATATGGGAGTCCCCTCTGTGTGCTGTGAATACCATTGGTGAATAAAGAAACTGCCTTGGCCTGTTGATAGGGCAGAACTTAGGTAGGCAGGGAAAACTAAACTGAATGCTGGGAGAAAGGTGTTGGAGTCAAAGAGAAGCCATGCAGCTCCTGCCAGAGACAGATGCCAGACTGAACTTTACCTGGTAAGCCACAGCCATGTGGTGATACACAGATTAATGGAGATGGGTTAAATTAAGATATAATTGTTAGCCAATAAGAAGCTAGAGCTAATGGGCCAAGCAGTGATTTAATTAATACAGTTTCTGTGTGATTATTTCAGGGCTGAGCAGCCAGGAACCAACAAGTGGCCTTCCTACAACATCAGAGTGTTAGAGCAATTGACTGAGTTGTCCTTTGTATCATGTTAATAAAACCTTTTGTCACCTTCTCTCCACTCCATCTCCCTCCAGTTACATTAGGTATAAAAGCTCCAGAAAAATAACCACAGGTGATTTTCAGTAATCACTGGAATGCCCTCTCGGCACTATTTTACAGTTTCTCTCTTATTATTTTTTATGCATTTCTTTACTTATATTTCTAAATTCCCATGCCCCTCACCTGGCAAGAGATATTTTTGTCGAGGCTGGTCCCCGATACACAAGGACATGAGCAGCCTTGAACTGTGATATTCATGAGACTCCAGGAACCCTGGATCTGTGGGATGAATGTATTAGCAAGTGCTGAAGAATGAACTCCCGGCTCTGTTAACCAACAGCCAAGAATGATTTAGAACCAAGAGACAGCCAGATTGCTTCAAGTGCTAAACTGTTTGTTGGGGGTGCAAATGAAACACTCCCCTTGAGGCTAAAGTGGATTAACAAGCTCCTTCCAGACAGAAAGTAAATCCCAGAGCCACAGGAGCCCCAAGGTCTCACACACATAGGCAGGGAACTTGCTGAGGATTGACTAAATCACTGCTTTTTATTGAAGACTCAGAGTGGAAGCTTTTGGCTTAGCCTGTTTCCTGGTCTGGAATATCTTCTATCAATGGTGGGTGGCTCCATCCCATGGGCTGGGCCCTCCCGCATTGATCACTAATTGAGAAAATGCCCTACAGCTGGATCCCAGGAAGGCATTTCCTTGACTGAGGCTCCTTCCTCTCTGATGGCTCTAGCAGCCCGCACACAGGGGATGATAGAGGCCCAGGTAGAATAATGAAGAAGTTATAAATAAACCCTGGAGCTGGGGAAAGCAAGAAAACGGCTTCTTCGCCATATCTTCTGGGGAAACCTGGGATCACAGGGAGCTTCCTCCCTTTCCAAACCTGCTCTGGGCTTCTAACCTCAGGAATATTACACGCCTTTGCGCTGTTTGAAGCAGTTGAGTTTGGGGTCATTTGTCACAGGGCAGTAAAACTCTAATACTACAGAGCCATGTCAGGCTGTGTTCCTGGTCCTATGTTAAGCATCTGGCTCACAGAAGATGCTCAATGGGTATTCCTTGATGCCCTCTGAAGGTCAAGAAGACAATCTGAAGAAGGAACACTAGAGTCCTGGGAAATGTTTAGGATTTGAGGCATTAATCCATTCCTTTATGCATTCAACGAACATCGTGCTATCCTACAGGTATTGGCATTCAATCAGGTTTCCTGTTCTTAAGGTGTTGGTGTGTGGTTGGAGGGGATAGAGAGTGAACAAGTTAATAAATAAATCCCCATGATCACATAGCAGAGTGGCGCAGGGTTCAGAAGAGAGGAGGTATTGCCCGAGACCAAGTGGAAACTTAGAAATCCTACTGGCCCTTAGAGGGTGATGTCATGGTTACTACAGAGACTCAGATCTGGCCAACGTGCTGACAATAAAACACTGGTGAGTGTGGGACGTCCATATAACCTGTGCCATGTGTACACACACACACACACATACACATGTGCACAGACACCATACACCCATGTACCATGTACCTATGCAAATACACTACACATAAACAATACTTACCACACACACATGCACATATGCTACACACTCATGCACACACACCACACACACATGAACACATACCACATACTCACAAACACATGCACACACACCACACATGTGCACATACAAATAAACCACACACACAATATACACTATTACACACACCACACATACCCTATATACATCACACATGTACACAAACACCACACTCACATATACCACACATACATCACATATAACACACACACCATAGAACAACATAGAAGAAAGGGCAGAAAGCACTAAAAAGCCAGAGAGAGGGTGGAGAAGAGCTTGATGATATGTTGCCATCCGGCTATGATGTTGCCATGGCAACCATGAACACACAGCAGCAGTGGACACTTGCACAAGACTGGACCTCAACTTTCCCCCACAGACAGAGCAGGTGCCCATGAGGCCCCTCTTTTCTTGAGAACCCGCTGCCTGTGGGTGTTAGCTGGAGGAGGGGATGCCATTTTCTTGGCTGATGTAAGCACTAGAGGACAAGATGGGAAGAAATGACTCAGAGGGAAAAGATGGGGATACTAGAGTGGAATGGGTGACTATCCACCATCCATTGTATATACAGAGGAAACTAAAAAAAGAGCTCTCGCTGTGGCCACCGAAGGCCGGCTCTACTCTGTTTCTTTAATTTTAAGACACCAGAATCTTTTGTTTCCTGGAGTGGATTGCATGTGTGTGTGTATGTATGTATGAGCATGTGTGTAAGTGCATGAGTATGTATGTATGAGCATGTGTGTAAGTGCATGAGTATGTGTGTGTGTGCATGTGTGTAAGTGCATGAGTATGTGTATATGAGCATGTGTGTAAGTGCATGAGTATGTGTGTATGTGTGTGAGAATGTATGTAAGTGCATGAGTATGTGTGTGTGCATGTGTGTAAGTGCATGAGTGTGTGTGTGTGCATGTGTGTAAGTGCATGAGTATGTGTATATGAGCATGTAAGTGCATGAGTATGTGTATATGAGCATGTGTGTAAGTGCATGAGTATGTGTGTGTGCATGTGTGTAAGTGCATGAGTATGTGTATATGAGCATGTGTGTAAGTGCATGAGTATGTGTGTGTGCATGTGTGTATGTGTGTGCATGTGTGTTAGTGCATGAGTATGTGTGTGTGCATGTGTGTAAGTGCATGAGTATGTGTGTGAGCATGTGTGTAAGTGCATGAGTATGTGTGTGAGCATGTGTGTAAGTGCATGAGTATGTGTGCAAGTGCATGAGTATGTGTGTGAGCATGTGTGTAAGTGCATGAGTATGTGTGCAAGTGCATGAGTATGTGTATATGAGCATGTGTGTAAGTGCATGAGTATGTGTGCAAGTGCATGAGTATGTGTATATGAGCATGTGTGTAAGTGCATGAGTATGTGTGTGTGAGCATGTGTGCAAGTGCATGAGTATGTGTATATGAGCATGTATGTAAGTGCGTGAGTGTATGTGTGTGAGCATGTGTATTTGTGTGTGAGCATGTGTGTAAGTGCATGACTATGTATGTACATGTGAGTGTGTGTGTGTGTGCATGTAAGTACATAAGTGTGTGTGTGTTCTGTGTTGTGTGCTAGGATAGTTCCAAAGAAAGAAAGATATCTGGAGGTTCCACCCAGAAGTCTCTTCATGCCACTTGCCATGGGGGCATCAAAGCCACTCAAACCAAAACTGGGGTCTGAAATCAGATTCATCCGTGCTCAGAGCCACTCCCTGCTGACCTAGACTGGGTTTTTCCACAGATCAGGAAGGCTCAGGAAAGGATGGGAAACAGTGGTCAGTCCAGTGGGCCAAATGTCACCAGCACCCAGTCAGCACATGTCACACTTGGTTTGCTAGCACCCCCATGTGCTCTGAGGTCACCAGGCAAGTTAAGTTGGCTGTTAACCTCACAGCCCCTTTCGGACACCCCTGAATGTTCTAGATTAATCAATTCTAGCCATACAGTTACATCCAAGCATTAGTTTACATGCTTGGTGAAGCCAAGAAGTCATCCTCAGGTTGCCATCCCTCAGATTTCATCTACCATATTTTATGAGATAGAACTTGTCACTTTACGTAGATCTCAACAAGACCCATCTGCCTTCAGTTCCCCAATACTGGGTCTCTATGCATGTTTCACTAGACCAGGCTTTTTAAAAAACAAAACGACAACAGCAAAAGAAACATGAATTCTGGGAACTGAACTTAGGTCCTTGTGCTCCTACAGCGGGAGTCTTTCCCACTGAGCCCCCTTGATTTAGGAAGGTCATTGGCTAATAAAGAAATCTGCCTTGGCCCATTTGATAGGCCAGCCTTTAGGTGGGTGGAGTAAACAGAACAGAATTCTGGGAGGAAGAGGAAGTGAGCTCAGATTCAATAGCTCTCCTCTCTGGGGCAGACGCAATGAAGCTCCGACCCAGGATGGACGTAAGCTAGAATCTCCCTGGTGAGTCACCACCTCGTGGTGCTACACACATTAATAGAAATAGGCCAAGCAGTGTTTATATGAATACAGTTTGTGTGTCGTTATTTTGGGACATAAGCTAGCCAGACGGCCAGGAGCCAGGAGGCAGGAACGCAGCCCGCAGCTCCTTCAACAGACAACCCTTGCCCAGGAAGCATAACGATGGGGACCTGGCTGGCACAGCCATCCTGAGACCTACGTATAGACTTGGTTGGGCACTGGCGGAGGCAGCAAGACTCTTAGGTATGGTCCACTTGAAGACGGAGAAAGAAAGACCCCTTCTCGGGTTCAATGACAAGGAAGATGAGAGTTAACAATGTCTCACAAGCAGTTCATTCTCCTGCAGACCGAGGTGACAGAATCAGATCACACAGTGAGGGCAGGGAATCCAGGACCTCAACACTGTTCATTCTGAGCCATGTCTGGCACCTGGCTGGGACTTGTGAAGTGACCCTGCTCAGGCGTGTGCCTATGGGAGCCTCAGTACAGCAACTGCCACCAATCTCAACCAATTATTCTCACCAGATAACTGCCCACTCTAACTTGTGACTTAGCTAGGTAAAGACATCAGCTTTGTTGCTAAACAAAAGACACATCTCTAAGAGTCCCTGATGTCTTATTTCACATTTCCTCTAAAGCGGAAATGTGGATATTACAGGACAATTGCTCCGTGTATAGTAAGCACCTCCTTGACTCTCTTTTATCACTGGTCCCATGTTGGTTGACTTTGGCAGTGACCCAATGCCCTCCCTCATCTCGTCCCCACCCCCCGTGGTATCCACTGTCACCCCAGCATAGAGGTACCTGGCAGGTTGAAGTTCTTTTTCTGTCTTGTGCACTGTGGGGAAGGGTGCAAGGGAGAAGGCGGCGTGGCGCTGGGAGGGAGAGGGGGTGCTGGTGAGGAGGGAGTGGAGGACGTCGTAGATGAGGGGTTGCTGCTGGAGTCTGGCTGGTAAGGGACAGGGATGTGGTCCTGTGGAAAGAAAAACAGGGCAGGGGTCAGGGACAGGTGGGGGAGCAGAGACACAGCAGACGGGGTGAGCTGGACAGGAAGGGGCTCCCCAAGCCAGCTTCCTCAGCCATGGCTGCCCCTTCTGCAATTGTTGGAGTCTTCGAGAGCCTAGCCTAGTTCAGTAAGAGACCCTGTCCAATAAATAAATAACAAATAAATAAGATACAAAGTCACTTGAAGACCCTTGAGGTCAACCTGTGACTTCCATGGGTGCATGCATAGGTCAACACGTGTACACGCACACAGACAACCTGTGACCTCCACAGGTGCGTGCGTAGGCCAACACATCCACAGGTGCATGTGTAGGCCAACACATGCACAGGCACACAGACAAAACACCTGAGCAAGCCAGTTTACAAGGCTGCACCCCTATGCAGAGGGGAGTTTCTGGACTAGCAGTCCTGTTTGCTGCTTGAACGCCAGGCAGGCAAGGCTGCTGTGGCATAATGACATCCACAGAGGTGCTAGCCAAGCCCTCTGTGCCTCTTTGATCTGGAGGGGCTCCATGCCGAGGAGCCCCATGCCGAGGTGCCCAGAGAACTGTCCCTGCTCTGACAGGTCTCCTCCCAAGTGTTTATTAAAGAATCAACAGCCTGACAGCTCCAGAGAGCGTGGGTGTGAGCCTTCAGCATCTCCCCCGGCATGCAGCTGGGACCTGCATCGTCTGTCTTGCTCTCAGACCAGCTTCAAGGGAAGGGCAAAGATGGAGTCCTTAAGGGCACGTGCCAAATGCCCTTGTTGGATGAACTTAAGCAAACAGGTCAGTGGGTTGAATGTGACCTTCCACAAGACACGTCACCCAGAAGGTTAGAATCCAATCCCAGTTAGAACAAGGGTTGGCCATTGAAGATGTAACAAAGCCAAAGATGGGACTGAGTCCTGACTCTGAAGATGAATATGCTCCTGAGAGGCAGGAAAAGGGGAGATGCATAAAAAGAAGAGCGTACGAAGACAGATGCAGAGACTGGGGTGATGTCACCAGCAGTCCAGGGCTGCAGAAGCCACCAGAAGCTGGAAGAGGCATGTGTCCTTCTTCAGAGCTTGAGAAGGCAGCTTTACTAAAATGACGGCTCTAGCAGAGCTGAGTTATAGCCTACTGCACAGATTTACCACAATTGGTCCGTTTTTGTCTGGTGAGGGATACCTAAGTTGCTTCCTGGTCACGGTTACTCTGTGTGGGGGGAGGATAAAGCTACTATACATATTCAAAAAGAGGTTGTGGGCACATACGTGGTTCTCTAGAGTGGTGGCACCGTTTTATATCCATACTCCGCAGTGAGCGACTTCCTCTGTGGCCTAGCCAGTACTTAGTATGCTGTCATTTCTTATTGTGACAGGCATGTGACAACGGTTTGTAGTGTTGGCTCATAGTGAGTGTCTTCTCCTGAGCCTGCTTGCCCTCTGGATGTCCTTTTGGTTTTGATTTCTGTAGCTATTTACTCAGTTTTGAAATTGAATAGAATTTATTGTTTACATTTTGTTTATATGTATATATAATATTTATATATAAACATTTTTGGTTATTCTAGCTACTTTGCCTTTTCATATTATCTTTACAATGACAGTGTCTAGGGCTAGAGAGATGTGGTAAAGTGTGCACACTGCTCTTCCAGGGGACCCCAGTTCAGATCCTAGCCCCTATGTCATAAGATTCATGACAGTTGAAGCTCCAGCTCCAGGGAATCCAGCGCCTTCTTCTGGCTTCCTTGGGTACCCGCACTTAATGCGCACATACCCACCCCCACACAATTAAAAAATAAAACTTGAAAAGCAAAGAACTGGTGTCACTGGGGTCAGGGGACCCACCTGACTTGAGGCCACCCTCCAGGTCTACTTCCAGAGAGCTGAGCCCCTTGACAGCGACCTGTTGGTACCTCCTTGCCTCTTGGCTATTCTTACAGCATCTCATTTTGTGGAGCTGGGTAGGTGGGGCTCTGTTCTTTGCACCTGCAGCTGGGCAGGGCAGCGTTCAGGATCTTCCAACCCCATGCTCACAGCGGGAAAAGCCATGGCCTCTGCTGTCACCACAGATGGTTGTTTGGATGCCCTGACATAGGAGTCTAGGGCTGGAGGCTGCTCCCTGAAGGAGCTGGCAGACGCTATTGATTTTGATTGTCCGGCCTCTCTCCATATCCTGTCTTTATCTCTCCCACCCCTCTCCATCTCCTCCATTCTCTCTTTCTTCCACCACTTCCTCTTCTCTTTCCTCTAGCTCCTTCTCATCATTTATTCCTTTCTCACTCCCATTTCCCCCTCATCTTTCTACTCCTTTTCTTCTTCCTCTACCTTTCCCTCCTCCTCCCTTCTCCCTCTCCTCCTCTTCTCATTCCATTACTTTGTTTCTCCCTTTCTCTCCCCACCTCCTCCCCCTCTTCCTCCCCCTCTTCTCACTCTCTTTCCTCCTCCTCCCTGGTCCTCCCCCCTCTACTCTCTTTCCTTCTGCCCCTCTCTCTCATCCCTGAGCACTTAGTGCTGGACCAAATCCTTTATACATATGACATATCCAATCCTCTCAACCACCCCTCCTATCACCTTGACCATTTCACAGAGGGGAAAAGTAAGACAAATGCACTTTGAACCGGCCTGATCACAACAGCACAGCAACTTAAGGAGCTGTGCTACAAACCCAAGCTTTCTGACTCCTTAAATCCACCTTCTGCCAACCTGTCAGGTGAGGAAGCAGGGCCTCTATGAACCTGGATGGACTGGGCCAAAGAGGAGGACAGACTAATATAAGAGCAGGAACTGTTCAGAGCAAACTGGCTGAGAAATCTGTCCCTAAACCATATCTTGCCTGACGACAAGAATCTGCATGAAGCCAGTGAGACAAGAACAAGGCAAAAAAAATAGCCCAGCCCGATGAGAGCGCCTGTCCACCTCCGTGGCAAAACTGCTATCTGGGTCGAGGCCAATTTCTGTCCCTTCCTGGGTGTCCCTGCAGGCAGACAAGCACAACAGTGTCACTCTGGCTCATCCATCTGACCCATGTTTTTGTCCCATCTGACATCAAGAGGCTCCAGCACTGGCTAAGCCAGACAGAAAGGTCTCGGAGTGGCTTTGAGCTCCTGGCCCCTGATGATGTCACTGATGGGTCCTAAGCTATGCACAGTCACTTCTGGAAGAGCAGGACACTGTCCTGCCTCTCCTCGTTCCTTCCAGCCTTCCTTCCCTCTTTCCCTCTCTCCTCTCAGCACATGGCAGCCAGAGCCTTGCACACACTAGCCAAGTTCTTATCCACTGAGACCAGCCCTGAGACTTCCAGAAGCAACCAAAGTAAATGGTCCTGGATTTGACACTTTGTGCAATGCTCCGAGATCAAAGACAACGCTCCTTCCTGTTCTCTGGATATCTGCTAGGCACCAGGAACCTCACAAAACATCTTCGAATGGTGATTATCTGCCGCTGCCTCAGGGACAGATCCCCACCAAAGCTGGTGTTCTTAATAGGCACTGTGAGCCTCATAAAGCAGGGACCTCAAACCCCTTCCCAGTGACAACTGGCATCTCCCTTGCCTAACTTCAAGTCCTGCGTGCAGTTGCCCCCTTAGTGAAGAACTGTGGGAACAACACTGCCATGGTCTCATGAGCCGTCATGGAAGAGAAGCACAGGGGCCGTGGAGTGGATCTATCAGGGGAAGCCGAGGCTGCAGGCAGTCACCCTGCCTGACTTCTCTGCCAGGCACTGACTTTGACTCCTCCCAACCCACGAACCAGACAGGAGAGTAAAGAAGCATTTGACGGTAATTATCGCAGGCTTTTCAGCCACGTAGCCTTCTTGTGGCTCATCAACTTTGCTATCACCCAGCGTAAAGGTAGCAATGGACAGAGTGGGCATGGTTTGAGTCACACAAAAGCAAGCAGTGGGCTGAACGCAGCCTAGTCTAGATGCGACTAGCCACCAGTTATGGGGGTTTCCCCGATAGAGTCTCTGGATATTGTTAACACAAAGGTAAAACGTCATACTCCCCCATGGAGCTCTGTCCTAATTCCTAGCCCCTAGCCTGAAGACCACAAGCACAATACAAGTGTGGTTATTATATACTGCTCATTTGGGGGTGCTTTGCTGTAAAGCAGTAGACAGCTGAAACATGTCCATTTTATACAGAGGAAAACTTTAGGTCGGAGAGATTTAAATCACTTGTCTACGTTTTCACAGACCACAAGGCGGCTGCCAGTTTGCCCTTACCCCAGAACACAGGCTCTTCCAAATGCTAGGATGGTATAACAAGGAGCCAGAAAGTGACCCCGAGAACTAGCAATAAAAAATGATAGCCAGTAGCTGCAGGGAAAGCGAAAGCAGACAGGGCTTTGGAAGGGACCGTGGGAGGTCAGACACGAAGGGTGGGGCCAAATGACACCGCTCTAAACCATGTGACGAACTGGATGTGATGACACACACCTGCAATCCCAGCACCTAAGAGGCTGAGGCAGGAGGATCTCAAATTTGTGACCAGCAGGGGAATGACTCAGGGGTTCAACTGCTTGCTGTATGAGCAAGGGGACCAGAGTCTGGATCCCCAGAACCCATGTAAGTGCTGAGTTAGCAGTGAAGCCTGCCTAGAACCCCATCCTTAAAGGACAAAGACGGGAATCCCCAGAGCAAACTGGCTTGCAATAGTAGCCCCATCGTCAAGTTCTGCTTTTGACTAAGAAGTCCTTCTTCAGGAATAAGGTACAAGAGCCATCAAGGAAGCTCTTGACACCAGCCTCGAACCTCCACATGCATAGTTATCACACGCATGCACCCTCGCACAGTGCCCACAAATACGCAAAATCATGCACACACCCGCATATCCACACACTCATGAAAATTAAAGCAAATATGTATATAAGTAAAAACAAATTAGATTTCCTTCCAGAAACCAACAGAAAACCAGTCAGTGAGTCAAGTTCACCGAGACCCACTCTGGCTATTGGAGGGAGAGTGATTGGGGAAAGGGGTCTTCTCAACAGACAGAGCAGGGAAGCAAGGCCACACTTTGCCAGGGAGGAGGTCAGCAGTCACCAAGATGCTCCTCTGCCATTTGCACACAGATCTGTGCCCTCCCACATCTGAGTCGGCACCACGCTTTATCCATCTTTGATATAATACACGAGGGCTTTGTGGGGCCTGAGAAAACCACCTCTTGGCATATGAGAACTTGGCTTGTACTGTGGGGCTGGAATTGTCCCTGGGACGATTTCAGCACAGACCATCAATAGACCAAAGCCAACATGGAGTGATCACGCCAGAAAGGAAGATGTACAGATGGCAGCCTGCTGCCATCCGCTCTTACTCAGAGCCCCCAATGATATCCACCCATCCATCCAAGCCCCTGCCAGAAGATCATCATCCCTTAGTTCAACAGATGTTTAGAAAGCCCACCACATGTGCACTGCTACTCTGGCAGATGGGGAAGGCATCCCAGGCAGAGTAGCCAGGGGTTGAAGGACCACAGAAACCCTTTTTGGTTGCTTCTTACCATCCCAGGGCTCTGTCCCCTCAAGGCATCCGTTCTCATTCCCACGGGCCTAACTCTATACTGTGCATTCTGCCCTGAGTAGCTCTTTCAACTGATCACGGGATGCTTCCCATCTGCCCTGCACACGAACCACCCAGAACCATGGGTGTGAGTGTCATGCCCCTGTTCAATCCCCTCCTCCTTCCCAGCTGCCATCTGGCCCTGTCACTGCTATCTGCTCCCCCCCCCCATGCTCACCCCGTAAAAGCCACACCTTACCTTGTTGATTTTGTTGGTTTTGGGGAGCGTCTGGCTTATGTGTAGATCTGAGTATCGTGCTGGCTTCCGGACAGGGTTGTTGATGTCACAGGGGACCGACTCCGTTCGCACTAACCTTGCTGGGTCCATAGGGGTAAAAACAGCAAAGAGAGTCTAAGAACCACATCAACTTTCGTCATGTCAGGAGACCCAGCTCACATCCCAATTTAGAACATACCGGCGACGCTGGAAACGACAGCCTTGCACCACCATGACAAATGTTCTGGGTGACCCTCCGTGGTGTGGTTTTGCACTCTCTGTATTATCTGCAGTGTGTGTGTGTGTGTGTACGTGTACACGCACGTACTAACACATGCACTTGTCAGTGTAGATGTGTCACGTGGGTGTGTGCGTGGGTGTGAGTGTGGTGACCTGAGGTTGGCAGCAGGTCTACCCTTGGTCTCGTTCTGCCCTTCTTTTTTGCGATGGGGTCTCCCACTCAACCTGAAGCTCATAGGTTGGACTAGGCTAGCTGGCCAATGAGCTTCAGGAATCAGCCTGTCTAGGCTGCCACCCCCAACACTGGGGTCCCAGGAGTGTCCTGCCATTCCGGCATTTTGACATGACTTCTGGGGATCTAAACTTAGGTCCTAATACTTGCATGGCAGGAATCAATTTACCAACTGAACCATCTCCCCAGCATCGATACATGCTTTTTCAAATATTTCTTTTTTTGAATTATTTATTCCCTTACACGTGGTTTTTGACAACAGACATAGGGAGCTGCCATCTTTTTGTTTGCTTTCCCACACTGTCACTGTGACACACTGCCTTGAACTCCAGCTAGGACACAAGAGACCCCTGACTCCATGGGACCTACAATTAGCACACAAGCCATGATGGACACCTGTCCCTATGCCTCTAATCGTTCGTTAGGATTTCTTCTATTATGTATGGGGTTTGCCGGGACTAAGAAAACTGTCACACATTGGACCGCATGTGTCCCAAATAACTACGGATCCCTGCAATGACGGCTCAGCTCCTGCAGCCTCTCCCCTGGGTATTATCCCAGAGCCAAAGCTGGATACACAAGCAAGACACTAACTAACTGCTTCCTGGTGGGGACAGAGCTCCATCCTGAAGAGCCTGCCTCTTGTTATTTCTGTCACTCACAGGGAACACAGTGTGCAGTGCCAGTGAGCTGCTCAAGTTCAGATTTGCCTGCCTACCACCTTTCCTTGTTAGTTGTGTTTTTGTTGGAGGTGTAGGGTGGGGGTGGGAGGTTGAGGAATTCAAGCTTTGCACTGACCCAGGGATTTAATTTCTCTGCTTAGCCTGAGCTGCCATTACCATGGAAACGGACTCTATTTTCAACTTCCCAACAACAGGGAGATTGGGGGGGGGGGGGGGATGCAGGAAGCCAGTGGACTTCTTCAGGAAAGTTTCTCTTTGATTTACTTGTAAGGCACAAGCCCCCTGGAGTCCAGGGAGCGTGGCCTTGAAGGCAGGTGAGAGAAGGGAGACCCTCTCCAAATACCAGGCTTGCCTCCCAGCAGTCTGGGTCTTACCTTCCTGTGGAGTTAGCCTCCAGAGCCCCCACTAAGGAGCAGGATTTGGTGGGAGGCGAATTCCCCTGTGAAGCTGACCTCAGACAGGGGCTCAGAAGCTGTGTGAACTCAGGTTTCAAAATGCGAGGGCTACTAAGGTGTGGGATGCAGAGAGGAGAGGCAGGGAATATCCGTGTCACATTCACTTTAGTTACACAGAACAGCGGCGTGCAGGTGCATTGCCTTAGGAAAGGAAATGGCAGGCATAGGATTACCTTGTAGGGACAAGCTTTACCGGGAGAGGGTGGCCTGCAACCAGGGGAGCCATGATCAAGTCTTGAGTAAGCATTGAAGAGAGACAACACGATCAGGCCCAAAAGGGAAGGACAACTCTTGAAAGCCCAGGGAGAAGCTTCATTTCTTTAATGATGTGACCCCTGGTAGATTGACCTTAGGTCAGGGTAAGCTCCAGTGCTCCCCCAAAATCTCAAACCTGGTTAGGGAAGGATGGGAGGGTGTAGACGGTGGTGATGGAGGAAGTTGGGAGAGGTGAATATGTTCAAAATACATTGCATGAGATTCTCAAGGAATTAATAAAAAAAAATTAAAGAGAGCAAGAATGAGAGGGAGAGAGAGAAGAGGAAGCAAGCCTGCTCAAGGGAAAAGAGACCTAGATGGCCACCACAGGCAGGATGACAGGGTGGGGGAGGGCATCAGAGCACGATCCTTCAGAGAAATTCCCAAATAAAGAAAAATATCCGACTTTCATTTTGGGGTGGGAGTGGAGGCAAGAAAGTCCACATCATGTGATTTAGTCTGGGATAGCCTACATGACAAGGAGTATCGGGGAGCCAGGATGGGACCATAACTTAGAGATTGTAAAAACCACAATACAGATGCTTATTAATTATCTGTCCCCAGAGGAACAGAGGGAGGGCAGCTGGAAGCTGGCGGCCTGAGCTCTTTAGGCTGCAACATCTGACCATTTACACGGACCAGCGTCTGAGGAGTAGGCTTCGATCTTACAAGATGGAGTGACAGTAATCAGGAGAGGTCTCTGCAGGGATGAAATTGCTGTCCCCCTGTGTCACCACCCACTGCCACAGCCACATGTGGCTCCTGAGCCCTGCGATCTGGCTAGTGGAACTTTCAGTTCACTCCCATTAGCCTCAAGTTAAATAGTCAGACGTGGCTAATAGCTGCTTATCCAACAGCACAGACTTTAGAGATCGCCTGGGGGATGGGGTCAAGGAGGGCTGGGAGTAACGAGGAATTAAGGAATTATTTTGTAAGCTGGGCTGTGAGACTTTAGGAAGAGTTATCATCGCCTACCAAGTCCAGGGCAGAGTGTAATGCTTTTCCTACTGGCTGAGTCGATCTGGTTGTACACTGTGAAAGGCTTGGTCAGGCTGGCCCAGCCGCTCCCAGGACCCCAAAACACAGGACACAGAAAGGCCTAAAATGGCTCTGCCCTGAGCTGGACTATCATGGAATATTAAACTACGTAAAGATGTGTTATATTTGTTTCTGTTGCAGAATATTACTTTAACAGGGTAAAGATGTGTTTCTTTGCCTGCCTAAGACAGCTGATTGATCTAATAATAATTGGAACAGCCAAAAGCTAGGCAGTTGAGGCACAGATGGGGCTGGCAGGCAGAGAAAAATCTAGGAGACAGCGAGAGAGGAGGAAGAGAATGAGTGAGAAAGAAAGACAGCCAGGGCCACCCAGGCAGCCATCAGCCAGACAGACATGGAGTAGGACATACCGAAGGTGAGAAGGTAAAAAGCCCTGTGGCAAAGCGCAGATGAAGAGAAACAGGTTAAATCAAGTTATACGTGCCAGCAAGAAATGAGCCTGAGAAGCTAAGGCCAAGCATTCATAACTAATAATGAGTCTCCATGTCATGATTTGGGAGCTGGTGGTTGGTCCAAAAGAAAAGCCTGCTACACCAGATTCCTCCCCAAGGCCCCTTCTGCAAGACCAACTGAGTGAGCCTGGGCCACACAATGGAAAGGTCCTAGACAGCACTCTTTTTTGAGTGTGAAGGAAAAGCAATGGAGTGGAAAGAAAAAAGGGAGTAAAAATTAAGACCAGGGGCAAAAAGAGTCAGGGGCAGTAGGCACTAAAACCTTAGAAGGACCAGTGGGAAAGCAAGAAATAGGGACAACAGGGGTGCAGGATGGGGAGGGAACACGGCAGGAAGGAGGAAAGAAACTGGGTGGGCAAGGGGCTAGGGATCGGGAGGTACCTGGAATCAGGCTGGGTGGGAGGGCTCTCTGGGATACATTGAGTCTTGAGCCCACAGAGGAACAAGTGTTAAATACTTACCTCCTCGGTGGATGATCAGGAGATGACAGGGAGGGGCTTCTTTGGTACATTTGTTGTGGCACTTTAACCTGAAAGACAGAGAAGAAGCAAGTTGGATGGGTTAACTGAATGGTTGGTTGCCTTGGGACAGATGGATGGATGGCTTGATGGATGGCTTGATGGATGGATGGATGGATGGATGGATGAATAGAATGGGTGGGTGAGGTGGATGGATGAGCTGAATGGATCGATATAAATATGGATGGGTAGAAAGATGGAGGGATTAACTGGTAAATGCATGATTGGTGGATAGAAGGACTGATGATGGATAGACAGATAAATATAGATGAGTAGATGAGAGAATGATAGGTGGATGGATGGATGGGTGGACGGATGGGTGGATGGACAGATGATGAACTAATAAATGGGGTAGATGAATACACATGCAGATAAATGTGTGGATAAATGGCTATATAAATGGTAGGTGGGCAGATAGGGAGGGAGGGCTGGAAGGACAGGTGATGGAAGATGGATGAAAGAGGGGGTGAAGGAATAAGTAGATGGACAAATGAGATGCCCCAGTGGTCTGGACTACTCCAGGCACTGAAGGCAGCAGAGTGTGAGGTGAGGTAGAGGCAGCAAATAAAGAAGCTGACCCTCCACAACCCAGATGGCTAACTCTGGAGAGAGGCTTCCAGTGGGACTCTCCAGTTCCACCCCGGGTGCTCCAAGAGGAAGCAGCAATTATTTTTAACAATATCCATGGTAACTTCATGTGTTGAAACATGATATCATCATCATCATCTGTATCAACAGCACCCCAGTCTTACCCATCATACCAAGTGCTCAAAGACTCACCCAACAGCCACTAGGCAAACGTCTTCCATACACTAGTTCATTGGAATCCTACAGTTGTAAGAAGTAGCTATTATTGTCTTGATATGAACTGACGTGCCCTGGATAAACCCCTAAGCCACTGTACCATAGATAGTCTCTCATCTACCCTAAAGCCTGAAGCTCTTGGAGATGTCAAACCAAGGCTTACCTTTAGGATGCAATCATTAGCAGGCTTTCAAGAGTGTTAGACACAAGTGAATTTCTTCCAGAAAAATCTTTCCCACCACATTGCCTGACTGCTCAAGGATGATACCGCCCCTCCCCCAAGTCACTGCAGTAACATCAATCAGTGCAGAAGAATGGACATCCCACGTGAGATACTGGATAAGCCTCATACAGACCCTCTCTGGATTCACCAGGCATTTTATGCACCCAAGTCAAGCTTCCAACTGTTAACATCTTTGCCAGGAGACTGCCCTTGGGCTCCCAGCATCGTAAGATTGAATAGAACATCCCACCCACCATACAGAGGTTAGAGTATATTTCTTCCCTCTAAAGCTCTGACGTACTCTCCATAGGATGTTAGCACACCTAGGCACAGGTCAGAGCAAGAGCCCAGTTCCACAGTTCTCAACATGGATTTCCCACCCAACAACATTCGTGCTTTCTGGAAATATCTCTGGGATTCTCTGCAGAATTGGCATCTCTGAAGCTGGGCTAGAATAAGCCCTGAAGCGACCCAGATTGTGTGAGGCAGGGGAACCAAGGGTCCACTTGGCAGTACAGCTTTTCCCATCTTTTTCACCATCTCTCCCGGGTCTGAGAAAGGTCCTGCCTTCATCTCTGATATGGAGACTTTAGACCTGGGGCCCTTGTGCACACAAAGGACAACCCTACCTGGGTGGCTCCAAACAATCAGGAAGCTGAGCTCTCCTTTTCCATCTGACCAAACTGGAGGGAGGGTGTCTTCAGATGCTCACCCAGTCGAGACACAGCTGGATAGCAGGGACCTCACTGCCATCTCCTTCTATCTAATATGTTTTAGGTCACTTTATGTGACTGGTAAAGGATATTGTTTTTTCCATTCATAGTAAAGGTGAGTTTTCATCTTTAAATGAACTTACCACTGTGGTTTGAGTCTGAGGTGTCCCCCAGAGGCTCATGTTTTAAACATCTGGTTCCCAGCTGGGAGTGCTAGTTTGAAGAGGTAGGGCCTGGCTAGTTATGTCATCAAGGGGTGGGCTTGGAAGGTCATGCCTGCTTTGAGTCCAGAGTGTTTTACTGCTTCTTGCTTCTTGTCACAGGAACATGCCACTCTGTAAGCTGTCACCACCATGTCTTCCTTGCCATAATGAATGAAACCCAGAAACTGAGAGCCCAAATAAATCTTTCTGCCCTTAAGTTGCCCCTTACATTGACCAAGGAACACAATACACTTTAGCCCAAAAGGCAGTAATAAGGTCAGGCATGGTGGCATATACCTCTAGGTCAAGCAAAATTGATGTCAGCCTGGGATACATTCTGAACTCCACTACTTTGCAAGGATGAAATGATAATGTTGTAATATGAGTGGCGGGACTGCGTCCCCAGTACCCCGGCCGCCTGCTAGCTTATGCCCCGACATAATTACATGGACACTGTATTCTTTTAAACACTGCTTGGCCCATTAACTCTAGCCCTTACAGGCTAATTCTCATATCCCAATCAACCCATCTCTAATAATCTGTGTAGCATCAGTCTTACCGGGAAAGATTCTAGCCTACGTCCATCCTGGGTCTGAGCTTCATGCGTCTGCCTCAGAGAGCAGAGCTATCACGTCTGCCCGGGAGAGGGGAGCATGGCGTCTCTGAGCTCACTTCCTCTTCCTCCTAGCATTCTGTTCTGTTTACTCCACCCACCTATGTTCTAACCAATAAAATGGGCCGAGGCAGTTTATTTTTTAACCAATGACCTTCTTCCATCATGATAGCATGCTTGTAAAGTGTTACACAAATTATCTGCAATATGGTGACTTTCAGTCACCATTACCACCATTGCCATCATCTCCATCCATCATCATCATCATCATCATCATCACCATCACCATCATCATCATCACCATCATCATCACCATCATCATCATTACCATCATCATCACCATCATCATCTCCACCATCATCATCATCACCACCACCATCATCACTACCACCATCACCACCACCATCATCATTACCATCATCATCATCATCATCATCGTCATCATCATTAGCATCATCATCATCACCATCATCATCTCCACCATCATCATCATCACCACCACCATCATCATCATCACCACCACCATCACCACCACCATCATCATCATCATCACCATCATCACCATCATCTTCACCACCATCATCATCATCATCATCACCATCACCACCACCATCATCATCACCATCATCACCAACATCATCACCATCACCACCAACATCATCACCATCATCACCATCATTGCCATCATCACCAGTATCATTATCATGCCCAGAAACACTCATGACCCCTGCCATCTCCACCATCATCTACCATCCCCCACCACCCCTACCATCATATCATCATCATATCCAAATCCCACTTCAGCCTCCAGAAAATTATGCCCATCCCTCACATATCAGAATAATCAGACCCAACAATTTTCTTATAATAGTGACAAATGCACATGAGGGACGATTAATTCCCAGGATGTTTTTTGCAAGAAGTGAAGTGTTTCTATTCGTGGAAAAGCAAGTTGGGGCTTCAGGCGGGTGATCTCCAAAACGCATGCTCATAATTATATCCTGCCAGCATCCTGCCTGCTGGGCAGCCTCCTGGGCCTCTAGGAACTCCACAGCAGCTGCAGAAGCTGCACCCATGGGTCTCCAGTTTGGCTCAACTGGAGCTCGGAGAGATTAGCTCCAGTGTTACCCCTTGTGGCACCTACATGAGTGGGGAGTCCCTGTTGTTCTACATGTCATTCTGATCTTAGTTTATGATGCTGCTCCATGCCTGCACGGTTTATTTCTTCCCACGTGAGCCATCTCTCCCCTCAAATACAGGACTTCATCCACTCATTTGCTGTAGCTCCCTAGTACCAAGAGCACACTATTACCAGCTTAGCTTGGGGTTTGATCCAACACTACAACACAGACCCTCCCCCGAGTCCAGAGAGTCTGAGGGTCTTGCCAGAGAAAGAGCCGAGGCAGAGGGGTGGAAATTGTATTAGCTTGAGAAGACCAGTAGGAATCGTATGGCATCCTAGGTCTGTCTAGAGGAGCAGTTTGACCCACATCCCTGTCTCCCAGGACGGAAGTCAGGAGACACAGCACGTAATAACCGAGCTCAGGCCTTTGCTGCTCAAGGCTCTGTGACCCTGGCTGAGCCTCAGTTTCTCACTCTGTAAAATGGGGGGCACCCATCATTGCTCCTGCTTAGGATGATTGAGGAAACTGAGGGGACCGAGTAAAACACCTGGAACACCGCCTCATGCACCGTGATCTGTCCCTGTGCTCATCACTCTTCTCCTTTAGGGACAAAATACATGACACGGGCAACTTGAGAAGAGGGTGTTAGTGCTGGCTCAGTTCTGAGGGCACACTCCATGGGGGGGGGGGGACGACATGGGGGTAGGAACCTGAGAGGGCTGTTATGTGGTACCCATGGTCAGGAAGCAGAGAGAGATGGATGCTGGGACTCAGCTTGCTTACCCCAGCCCTTCAGAATGGGTCTTTCCACCACAGTTAAACCTGGAAACATCCACAGAGAACACATCCAGAGGTGTTTCCAGGTCAACTCTGAATCCAATCAAGGTGACAGTTAAATTAAGCCATAGTCGCCCCCGAGTGTCAGCTCTTGTTGCTTTGAGGGTCGTGGTTTGTGAATCTGCCAGTCATCTGTACCTTTTAATGCCTCTCAACTACTGTATTCTTCCCGAGTCAAACTCTGCTCTTTATGAAGATTCCTGACCACCAAAGCCGTTGTTCGTAACATGCACTATTATTACTTAAACACGTCTATTTTCCATGCATGCTAAGCATGCTGTGACATTCTGATACGCGCATCCAGTAAGTCATGGTTTCTAACTCATCCTGCATTTTATATATTATTTAAAGGGTCCCCTGTCACTGTCTGCATGTTACAGACAAGGAAACTGAGGCCTCGGGAGTAAATACCTGGCACAGAATCTCACAGAGGGTAGATTAGTTGTTAAAACATGGGTCTCCCTGACTCAAGACCATATACGTAATAGGCTAGT